TACAGTGAGGAGTTCGCCCTCCTCCATTCAGATTCTAGACTTCTTCAAGAGTAATATTTCTAAAATGAACATGCACTTGTTCCAATCGTCGGCTAATATCTTTATTTTCATTGATTCCTTATATCCTCTAGGAAAAAAGTCCAAGTTTTTATGCTCAGCATATGTAATTCCTCATGATCTGGTGCCTTGTTTACTTTTCCAGCTGCAACCCCAGCCATATACACTTTTTTTACCCCATTCATTCATTTATTCAACAGACATTTCAAGAATACCTACTCTTTACCAAGTATGGGGCGTTAGTTCCCCCAAATTTCTGGGTTGTGTTATTCAACCCCTCTGGGCAATCTCTGGGGAAGCCTGCAGAGTAGCACTTAATCTGAGTCCAGACATTGGGAGAGCTACCAGAACCACACTGAGTCCCCCTCTGGGAGCATGAAGTTGGAGGTAGTTGTGCGACCAGATAAGGCAAAGTCAGGAGCCGCCAGGACTCGTGTTGAGTAAGCAGCCATGGCGTGGGGGCAGGTGGATCTGAGTAAGTCCAAGGAGGTGCATAAACTAGGTCTACTCCAGGTGTTCCCAATAAATGTTTGTTCATTCAGGGAGGCCTAGTCAAAGGCTGTTCTGGGGAAAGCTTGTGATATAAGGGGAACATCTTCAGCTACAAGCAGTTGTGAGGTTTTTTGCACACATTCAGATATCTATAAAACAATAAAAATTGCATTTTTTTAAGTTCTTTTTTTTTATTGTTTTATTGCTTAAAGTATTACAAAGGGTATTACATATGTGTCCTTTCCCCCCCTCCCCCCCCCGCCCTTGACAGTCCCCTAGCCTCCCCCATCCCCCAGTGTCTTATGTCCATTGGTTATGCTTATTTGCATGCATACAAGTCCTTCAGTTGATCAAAAATTGCATTTTGTTATGTATTTATTAAAGACAATCACTTACTGCCCAACTGGTGTGGCTCAGTGGTTGAGCGTTAACCCGGAGATCATAGTTTGATTCCCAATCAGAGCACATGCCCAGGTTGTGGGCTTGATCCCCAATAGGGGGCGTGCAGGAGCAGCTGATCAATGATTCTCTCTCATCATTGATGTTTCTATCTCTCCCTATGCCTTCCTCTCTCAAATCAATAAAAATATATTTTTTTAAAATAAAAAAGACAATCACTTATAGTTTGTAAAAAATACTGGCCTGATCTACACAAAAATTTCCTGATAATGGTAATTAAAAACTGCTACTCTTACCACCCTTGTTTCCACACCAATATTCATTCTAATCTTGAAGTGTAATACAACAAGACTGAAGACCAAACACTTTAGGTCCCGGTCAAGATAATAAAATACTCAAGTCTTTTGGGTCCTTGGATTGATCGACATGAATAAGGGAACCAATATTTTAAAATATATTTTAAAATTTATTTCGGAGAGGAAGGAAGAGGAAGAGAGGGATAGAAACATCAATGATGGGAGAGAGTCATTGATTGGTTGCTTTCTGCATGCCCCCCTTGGTGGATTGAACCTGCAACCCAGGCAGGTGCCCTGACCAGGAATCAAACCATGATCTCCTGGTTCATAGGTCGATGCTCAACCATTGAGCCACGCTGGCTAGTCAACAAAACCAATTTTTGATGTTGAGAAAGAATTGTGTCCATCTCCAATAATGAATTCAAGCTCCTGCCAGCCCACTCGGTTGCGGGAGGCCACAACATCATTCTCTTTGGTAATTTCACTGTCAGCAATTCTCTTCAGTTCCTCCCTCATACTTTATGTGCATAAGCCTCTTTTCTGATTGTGACACTTTTGTAATTGCTGTCATTGGCTTATCTCAATTTCCCATTGGGCTGAACTTACCCTTGTGACACACGCATATAATAATGCAGATAAAAGTTACTGTCCATTGCTCAAAAAAAGGCCACAGAGACGGAACTTTATAGCAAACCATGTAGTCAGTGTTATGAGGGCAATTCTCTTATAAGTTTTAAAAAAATTAGTAATTCCCTGATATCATCTAATCCTCAGTCCACGTTTAGTCTTTCCTGTATTTCAAGATATTTTTTTACAATTGGTTTGTTCAAATCAGGCTCCAAAGAAGGTCTTAATCTTACAAGTTATACCTTTAGGTAGAACATTAGACTCAGTAGATCAAGCATGTCAAACTTGTGGCCAAACTCGTTATTTAAACGCAGCGTGTACCATGAGTTTGCCATGCTTGCAGTAGATCACACCACAATTCTCAGTCAGGGTCTTGTTACCTGCTCTTTTTGTTATTATGTTTTCATCTATGTTGATAATTTTTAAGTGTGCTTTGTTTTATAGACCATTGTGATGAATGACTGTATTATCCGAGGGGATCTGGCAAATGTAAGAGTTGGACGTCATTGTGTTGTGAAAAGTCGGAGTGTCATAAGGCCACCGTTCAAGAAATTCAGCAAAGGGTATGTAACTTAATTATCTGGTTTCAGTCTTGGGCAAGCTGCTGCTAATTGTGGTGTTCTCCATGTGTTGATTGTGGTGCAAGGAATGGGTCTAGGCCAGGGGTGGGCAAACTTTTTGACTCGAGGGCCACAATGGGTTCTTAAACTGGACCGGAGGGCCGAAACAAAAGCATGGATGGAGTGTTTGTGTGAACTAATATAAATTCAAAGTAAACATCATTACATAAAAGGGTATGGTCTTTCTTTTTTTTAGTTTTATTCATTTCAAACGGGCCGGATCCAGCCCGCGGGCCATAGTTTGCCCACGGCTGGTCTATGCTGTTGTTGGAGATGCTGAGTAAGAATTCTGGTGGTGGTCGTCCTAGACTAGTTGATGGTTGGTTGGTTGGTTGTCAGAAACAGAATCCACTTAATCTGGCAAAAGCAAAGGGGGTTCTTATTAAACAGACACACGCATATTTGATGGAACCTAAGGGTAGAAAAAGGGGCCGAGCCTTAATGAGGAACTAGAACCCCAAAGTAGTCACCTTGCCAGAATCAAGACAATATTCTGTATATCTAGTATCTCTGTCTCCAAAATGATACTTTGTGTTGATGTGTCCTCTCTGCACTTCTGTTTCCCTCCCCTCTTTCTCGAATTGTCTTTCCCCTTTCCTCCTGAAGCTGACTTTGCTACTGCAGCCCCTCATTTATATCATTTCTCCATTTAGACTTCTAGCAGATACCAACGAGAGATCTTAGGTCTTATTTAAAATTCATGGGAGAGGGGATTAATTGGCTCAGTATGAGTTAACTGTTCACCCCTGGTCTAAGAGCTGTGACCTGAGGGCAGGTCAACTCAGGTCCACTGATCTCACAGTGGGAATAAGGAGTGTCCAAGAAGGACATGGAGAGGGCAGGAAAACTGGCCACTCTACCCACATGGTGGTATTCTCTTTGTTTCCCTTCTCCTTAGCTAATTTATTCTCCTGGTTCCTACATGTGACATCTAAATTTCATCCAGTAATTCAGCAAGCATTTATTGAATACTTTCTTTATGCCAGTCACTAAGTTCTAAGCAGGGCATATAAAGATGGATAAAATAGC